CACAGCCTCTCTGGGCAGCTGTTCCAGCACCTCACCACTCTCACAGTACAGAACTTCCCCCTGACATCCAACCTCAATCTTCCCTCCCTCAACTTCAAACCATTTCCCCTTGTCCTGCTGTTATCTGCCCTTTCAAAGAGTTGATTCCCCTCCTGTTTGTAGGCTCCCTTTAGGTACTGAAGGCTGCAATGAGGTCACCCCACAACCTTCTTTTCTCCATGCTGAACAGACCCAGCTTCTTCAGCCTGTCTTTGTAGAGGAGGTGCTCCAGCCCCCTGATCATCTTTGTGGCTCTCCTCTGGACCCTCTCCAACAGCTCTCTGTCTTGTATGGGGGGGCCCAGACCTGGACAGAGTACTGCAGATGGGACCCCACAAGAGCGGAGTAGAGAGGGAAGAGTAAAGCAGAGGCTGGCTCTTTGGAGATGGCACTGGAGGATTCCCAAAATGTTCCCTATCTGTAGAAAAAGGTCGGCCCACAGGTTTGGGCAGCTATTTCCCAGCCTTCATCCTGGAAAACAGCGTGCCATGCCAGTTCCTCTCAGACACCCAGCCCCAAGCTGCCTGCACTGCTCCTGGGAGCTTTTTGGTGCTTCTCCTGACCACTTGGTCTCCTCTTCCAGCCTATATTCAGAAACACAGCCCTCGGGTGCTTGGTGAGCATCAGCTAGTGGCGAATTTGCCAGAAAATGTGAAGCAGCAGGGATGCTTTGTGGGAGCAGCATCACAGAGCGTGGTACCTTCCCCCCCTTGATGTCCCCGTGGTGCAGAGCGCTGTCCCCCCCTTTGTGACACCGTGTCCTCTTCCTGCTGTCCCCCCCATGCTAACACTGTACATCCCATGCGTGTGACCGCTGAGCCACTCACTGCTGTTGCCCAGATGTTGCACTGCGTCTATTGAATGTGGAACAAATCCTGGCCCAAACCAGAAACGAGCACCTAACAGATGCTGGGAGCCTTCCTGTTGCCTTTCACTGCGGAAAGACACCTCCTGGGGAAGCTCTGGGACCTTCCAGTGCTCGCTGTTATTTTCGGTCACCGAATTTCCTGTGCTGGACTGGAAGCACAGCACTCGTGTCCTGTTTGCTCCTAACGAAGCGCCTGGTTCTGTGCCTTGCCTTTGGGCCCTGTCTTTACAGACCGTCTCATCGAATGAGGTCTGAAGCGTTGTAATTAGTCTGTAAGGTTCTGGTTAGAGTGTACAGAGCTATTTATTTTGTGTACTCGGTCTGTTAAACACAGCAATGTATCCTGTGTACCCCATTGCTGCAGTGTGCTTCCTTCTGGCTCGTGGCTGCTGCTCTGGGGTTGTAGATGGTGGCTGGATGGGTGCTGGGAGCTGCTCACCCCTCTGGAGGGACTGTGGGCTGGGTGAGTTGGGTACTTCCTTTTGGAAATGACAGCTTTGTGTGTCTCGGGCCACTTCTTCATTGTTACCTGGCTACAAGGGCTGGAGAAATGCCCTGCTTTGCTCACAATTCTCTGGTTTCTCACTTTTTAGGACCAATAGGAAAGCCCATAATAGAGTGAAGCGTGCTCCTTGTGAGCCACATCCTGCTGGAGGGGCCAGGGCAGCAGCAGGGGTGAAGGTGAGCAGAGAGCTCATCTTCTTGTGAGAGCTCAGCAAACAACCACAGAAAGCATCTTCTCCTGCTCACACACCCCCCATCCCCACATCCCTGACTGCCTTTAGAGACACATGGAAGCTGGCTAAAGCTGACAAAGTGCATGCTTGTTCCACGTGGCACGTCGTACTTCAGTACTGCCGAGCAAAGGCACAATCCAGCTATTCCTATGGGCCGCCATGCTGCCACGTGCCCTGGGGCTTTGCGACACCCTGGTCTTCCTTCTCTGTGCCACATCCCCATGCCCAGCTCTATTTCCAGCTGCCAGGAGCCAGCCCTTCATTCCCTGAACGCAGCCCTTTGCTCCCACACCGTACAGGACTCATATGAGGATGCCCCTGCTCATTTGCATTCCCATACTGCTTTAAAGGCTGGGCTGAGACCTTTTTCAACCCCTATGCACATCCTGCGCTGCGCTGCGCTGCACCACAAGAAGAAAGGAGCAAGGCTGGCCACAAGCACATGCTTTATTACTCTGCAACAAAGTGAGCCTCGCTTTGTGCTCAGCCCTGTGCTGGCACTGCTGGAGCGAAGCGATCCCCACAGCTCTACCCCTGGGCCACAATTTGGTCGATCCAGTTTCGGAAGTAGCTGACGCGGGTGTAGACAGCAGGCGTGCGGACGTTGCAGTTGCTGTTTCCCCAGGAGACGATGCCAATCAGAGTCCAGACGTTCCCACTCTGGTACACGAGGGGACCCCCGGAGTCGCCCTGCGGGGACGAGAGCTGCAGTTTAGGGATGGCCCCATCCCTACCAGTCCCAGGACCTTGCTCCAAACGGGTTCCTACCACCCCAATCCCTAAGATGCTTGAGCTCAGAGTCTCCAAGTGCAACACCCCACCGTCCTCCTTGTTCCAGGCTCCTCACCTGGCAGGAAGAGGCTCCGGCCCCCCCGGCGCACAGCATGGCGCTGGTGATGCTGCTGCCCCAGTACTGCCGGCACTGACTCTGCGAGACCAGGGGCAGAGAGACCTGCTGCAGGCGTGACGCCAGAGTGTTGGCTTTTGGAGGAGAAAAAAGCTGTGTTACTCACTGTTACTCACATATGTCTCCCCATGTGCTCACCAATGGATGCAGCCATGCGCTGCCACCCTCCCAGCACAGTAGGAGCCCCCCCAAGAGCTGCAGGGTACCTACAGGTGGTGCTGGTGCGTCCCCAGCCGGTGGTGACGCACTGCTGGGTGTCAGACAGAGCCAGGTTGGCAGCAGCCAGGCAGACGGAGGACACACGGGAGCCCAGCTGGGCGGCCGAGGAGAGCTTCAGCAGCGTGATGTCGTTGTTGAGGGTGTAGGCGTTCCAGTTGGGGTGTGTGACGGCCTGCCGAGGGCACAAGCACTTCGTCCTGGCCATGGGGCAGAGCTGCAGTGCCCTCCCAGAGCTACAGCCACCCCGCTCACCTTCGACACGGTCTTCACCTGGACAGACTCAGACTGGGAGTTGAGGTTGTATTCCCCAAGGACGACGACGTGGGAAGATGGGCTGCAAGACAGAGGGATTGGGGGTCATGCAGCACCACTGGGAGGGAGTGGCGGGCTGCTTGGTGCCCTCGAGGCTGTGCCCAGTGTGCCTCGACCCCGTGCCCATCCCCAGTGTCCCCAGTGGGGTGCGGAAGGCATCGCTCCTTACTTGAACTCGCAGTGGGCGGCTGTGACCACCCAGTTCTCGTTGATCAGAGAACCGCCGCAGAAGTGGGATCCTGAGCGGGTCTGGGAGGAAAGGAAGAGCAGGAGCTGGGGGTGGGCAGGGGGTACCTGCACAGCAGCCCATGCATGGGAATGGGACAGGGATGTACCTGCAGGGACACCTGCCAGGGCCAGGAGCCGGACACCGCGTTCTGCCCATTGATGATCCTCTCGCTGTACCGCACTGTGGGGCTGATCTGGGGCTCCCCGCAGCCTATGGAGGAGCACGGGAGGGCTCAAGGCTCGTGCCCAGAGGCATCTCCTGCACCCCGAGGACCTGCCTGCCTCCCGTGCAGGAGGACACGGACACCTGCCCAGTGTTGGGCTTACCTGAAACAGTGCTGGCCAGGGCCAGGCAGATGACTGCCCACAGGAACGCCATCCTGGGAAGACATGGCAGTGCCCCAGGGCTGCTGGCTTTATAGCAGCTGGGAGCTGTGTGGCTCGTGGCCAGGCAGGGCAAGGTCCTGTCCCGTCCCAGCCATGGGCAGTGGTCCATCCAGGCTTGTGTGAGAGTTGTTCTTCCCCCATGCAGCAGTGATACGGTGGCCTGGCAAGGCGTTGTCCCAGCTGGATGTTCCCAGAGCCCAGGGTCACCCTAGGTACACCCCTGTGCAGGTGAGCACATCCCAAGGCCAGGTGGGGCAGGCAGCAGCTTTCCCAGGCAGTCAGGAGCCATGGAGAGCAGGCAGCAAGCCCTAGGGAGGACAGCGGTCTTCTCCCTGAGCTCATCACCTCTGAGCCCTTCCTGCAGGTGCCTGATCCCTCTGCCCCCTAGGCCTGAGTGCTAGTGAGTAGTCTGATTTCCCCCAAATCCCAAATCACCATCCTGGGCTTACTTGAGTGCCAGGAGCCATCCCTGGAATAATGCTGAGCATGGGGATGTGTTCCCTGCCCTGTGCTGCCCGTGCCCTGCTCCCCTGAGGCACATTGGCCAGACACAGGTAAGCTATTGCAGAGCTCAGGTCTTTATTATTGGCATTGGTGCCATACAACAGCAGTGGGATCAGGCCCATCATAATGCAGAAAGAATGGCAGAGCATAGAATTCAGCCCTTCCACTGCCCAAGGTGCCTGCAGGGCTGGCAAAACAGTGCAGGCCAGGCAGGAGGAAGTGGCAAAAGAGAGCAGTGCGGCTCCAAGGAAGCAGAGCACACAACATGCTTCTGCTCCTCACCTTCCCCTGGCATATGAGGAAAAGAGGACCAAGGGATGGAGAGCAGCAGAGGATGATTGTGCCCAGGGAGGTCTGCCCATCATGGAGAAAGCTGAGACTCCATTCACGTTCTCCCAAGTACTGAAGTCTTGGACTTTGATGCTATTGTAAATGTTGACCAGAGAGCTTGGGCAGGTCACCAGAACTCTGATCTGTCCCCTCATGCGAGCAGGGAGAGAGTTGGTGGCAAGAGCTCCGTGTGTTCCTTCTCCCCTCTGGTCATTAGCCATAGTGAGCCGGCTGAGATCCATGCAGGACCCAGCTGGTCCTGTAAGACCCTGTAAGCCTGGGTCCAGCAGTGCTCCAGTTTTGGAGCTGTGGTGAGAAACGAACCAACGCACAGGTCACTCTGGCTGTCTGGATGCACCAGGAATTGCTGCAGCCCCAAGAAACTTGGCTTCACCCCAGCTGTAGCCCCCTGTCCTTCGCTCTGTTGATCCTCATGTCCTCCTGGCAGTAAGCTAGACCTAAGCAGCCTTGATTTTCTCCTGAGCCAGGTCTCCTAGGTCTGCTTGGAGGGTAACAGCGCAGCAAGGCAAGCTCAGAGCAGGATGGCATGTATCCAGACTGTCCCAACACAGGGCAAGGTGTGGGGATGCCGTGCATCATCTCCGTTCTCCCCACACACTGCCTTGGAGCTGTCCTGTTCGGTCCATACGTCGGTGGGGCAGTGGGAAGCACGGCTGCTGCAGGCAGTGCAATGTCTCAGGCACACTTGGCCTTGCGCAGGCAGAAGGGCAGCTCAGGTGCAGGAACCAGGATGGTGCTGAAGATGGGCCGGTAGCCTTCGGGCAGAGGCTGGGGGTTCTGTGCCATCATTTCCAGCACCACGTGTCTCACATCTTTGGAGATGTCACCCCGCAGGTCCAGCAAAGTGGAGATGTGCTCATCGCTGGGCAGAGAGCAGGAGGTGAGCGGGGAGCAGCTGGCTCACAGTGCCATGAGCCCTGCTCACATCCCTCAAACCTCCCATGATCCAGAGAAGCTGAGGCTGGGGAGAGCTGGAACTTCAAACCAGCTGATTTTTTTAATCGGCTTGAAAGTAACCCCATAAAACTTTTCAAGTTTTCATCTTGGCATTTCATGGGTTTTGGACAATTCTGACATTTCCAATTAGGTGATTCATGATTTCTCACCGTTTTGATGACTAAGTATGGACAAGTGAGCACCACAGCAGAACTGCTTTTCCCTTTATATCTTTGTCATTGGGTTTTTGCAGGAACCCCTCAAATTTGGGTCACAGCAAAAAGAAACCTCACAAAGGAGGGAGCCCAGGTTTCTGCATGCTCTCCAGCCCAAACCTGGCTCCCCAGAGCAGTCATGCCCAGTCACAGGTGAGCAGAGCTGGGCTTCCTACCTGACATCGGGGTACTTGGTGATGAAACCCAGCACCTCCAGGCTGAGTAGCGCTGGATCTTTGAGGCAGATCAGCTCCCGCAAAGCAAACACGGCCTCCAAGCTCTGCTGGCTCCTGTCCAGGCCCTGAGAAGGGGGAGTGTGACATGGGTGAGCTCCCAGCCAGTTCCCTCCCATCTTGGCCTCACAACTACCCTAAGTGTAACAGCTGTTCATGGGCTGATGCAATTCTCCGTCTGCTGTGGGCTGCAGGAACAGCTCATAGCTCCTTGCGCTCACCTCGCTATGGGGCTGCCCCAGGGCTTGTGCAATGCCCCTCTCTCACAGCCCAAGCCCAACTCCCCACCACATTCAGGCATCCCTCACCAGGCTGCAGAAGAGCTCCTGGAGCTGCGTGGCGTCCTGCAGCAGGCGGTCACAGAACTGGCCCCTCTCCTCCTTGCTCTTGCACACCATCTTCTTCTGCATGAGTGCCCTCAGGTATTGGCTCGCCACCAGGAGCTCGCTCTCCATCAGCAGGAGCTGAGCACCAGGGCAGAAGAAAGCTGTTAGCTCCGGAGGTTGGCCATGAATTGCCCAGAAGGGAAAGCAGGCAGAAGGGCATCTGAATTTGGAGCAAATCTGTGTGATGGTGCCCTGTGGGATGCTCTGGAGGATATGGGCCCTCCAGCAGATCTCCATTCCCCTCCCAGCACCCTTTGGGCTGTGTCCTGAGCCCTAGCACTGCAACCAACTGCCCAACACCCTCATCCTGCAAACCAGCAGCCCGTCAGAGGGGAGCCATGCAATAGTTGTACCGTGAAGGCAGGCTTCCTGACGTGGGAGAAGTCCTTTGTGTATTTGTCAATCACTTCACACATGCTGTTGACCACCTGGGACCCCGAGAGCCACTTGCGGGAAGGCAGCTGCACGTAGAAGGGCTGAAACGAGCACAGGAGGAGCATCAGGTGCCCTGCACTGCATTACTCTTGTAGCAGCTCCCAGCTGAAGAGAGGCACGGCATCACATAGCACCTGCCCTCCTGCAGCTCGCTGAAGCCTATTGCTGCCAGAGGGCCCTGCTTGGCAAAAGCCAACATAAAACAGTGATCTACATCAGGAAATGGATGGGAAAAATGAGGACTGACATTCTTGGGTCTTCCTGATGCTCACAGGTCAGTGTTTTGGGACTTTACCTGACTTCACTGTCACTGCTGGGCAGTGCACCTCAGCCAGCACCTGAGCTCTGGGGCAGCAAGCTGCTCCTCACACACTTGCTTTTGGTCTGCCCTGATGCAGTTTTAATTTCTGCTCCTTCTCCTGTGTAGACATAACATGTTTTTGGCTGGGGGCTTTTCCTCCCCTGCTGTCCTTGTAGGCAGCACCTTCCTGCCTAACAGCACAGTCTCTCTGCAGTGTGGCAGTCTCCACGCTGCCTGTGAGTGTTTCACCCTTTAGCTGCTCCTTTGTTTCTATGGCATTCGCCTTCCAGCCCTAAATAGCAATGCCATTAGTTTTTCCAGATTTGTTCCAGGCTCCAGGAAAGCTAAATTTGACTATGCTGGCAGGAAACGACTGGGGCAGTCACGCATGGGTTTGTATCCTCTGCATGGATATGCTCTCTCCTTGGTTTTGTGCCATGAAAGAGCCACAGAAAAGGAGTGCAAGGGAGCCCAGGTGGGCTGTGTCTCCCCAGCCCTGTCAGTTGGTGGGTTTGGGGCCATATGCCATGGTGATACCGGGTGGTGCTGGCAGGCTGGTGTAGATTATCAAGGTCTGGGAGCTGTGTTTGAGGGATGATAGCTGGCTGAACACTGCTCGTTAGCACGGAGCACGTGGCCTATAAGCTAGGCAGGAATAGACAGAGTAGTAATAGTGCTGTTCTTGCTGGGGGGGGGTTCTCTGCATCCCCAGCAGCCTTGGGCTGTGGATAAACATACCTGTAAGTCAAGGAGCAGCTCCTCCAGCAGCAGCTGGCAGGCTTTCTTCTGCATCTTGTCCAGAGCAACCTGGAGGGATGCAGGGACTTCTCTGCAGGCAGCATTGGGGTGCAGAGAGGGGATAGAGGAACTAGGAGACAGAGAGAGAAGGGAGGGGACAGTTAGCCCAGGAAGGGCAGGAGGATGGAGAACTTGTGGCTTCCTTGTGGTGGTGGGGTTATTCTGAGAGGCAGCCATGAGGCATGCATTACCTGAGAGCCAGGTTGTTGTTGAGCATGGCCAGGAGATAGGGAACGTAGTGCTTGGGTACGGCCCGATCCTTCTGGTGCTCCTTCCCACACTGCACAAGGACTTCCCTCAGGCTGCAACACAGCCAGTGATCTGTGATGGGCAGGCAGAGCTCCTGCCACAAAGCTCAGAGCTGGGATGCTGCTGCAGCACCTGGGGGCACGTGGGCTTCCCACAAACCTCCCAGCTCACTGCTGCCAAGCTGGCAGTGGCCTGTTCTTGGGCAGCATCGGATAGCTGGACCCACTTTGGACCCGTCAGGTGTCCAGAGCAGGGCTCAGCACCACCAGAGAGGCACTTAGGGCAACAGGCCCTGGGATCTGGTGGCCCCCACGAGCTGGGACATAGCCCCATGGCAGAAAGGCTGTGCTGTGGGGACCCAGGGTCTGCAAGGATAGGCAAGGGTGGGAGGGGGGCTCCACTGACCGTCCCAGAAAAGCCTCGAGCTCCTCCAGGGCCATGTTGTAGACCTTCTGCTGCAGGGAGTCTGTGATCAAGGAGGCTACCTGGATATTCTCACTCAGCATCTGCACAAGGAAAGGAGAGTGGATGTAAGGTCAGGGGCCATAACGCCTTTTGGGGTGCCCTCAGCAAGGCCTGCCCCAAGCTGCACCCCAGAGAACATTGAGCACAAGAGAAGAGGGGAACCACAATGAGAACAACGTGGCCTGAACAAGCAACCAAAGCAGCAGGGGCAACAGTGCCTGGGCTCGACCACAGTGCTGGGCACCCACCTGCACAACAATGACAGGCAGGGCAGACTGGAAGAAGCCCTGATGGTCCATCTCAGGTTCCTCTTCTCTGAACCACTCTTTGAACTCCACCTCCAGGGTCCTCTGCATCCACTCGATCACGCTCGCCTGTGGGATGGATACCCACCACAGCCAGTCCCAAAGTCAGCTACCAACACCCCCAGAACCAACATGCAGCCCAGCAGTGAGCCCCAGCCTCATGCCATGGGCTCCTGCTGCTGTCAGAGCAGGTGGCTGCATGGTGGCCATGCTTGGGAACCTGCACACATGCTGCCCTGCTTGCTCACCTTGACCTTCTCCACGTATTTCCTCTCTGTCTGATCCACAAGCT